CAGAATCTGAAATTTTCTTCGATGTGATATGTGTTGCTCAAAGAAGTCTCTACTGCTCGGTCAGTAAACTCGGCCCCGCCTTTTATGAAAAAAGCTATTTTTAGAATCAAAATCGAAAGGTGCGAACTCTAATGAAAAACAGAGTCGTCTTCAGTAAAGCCTCGATGTAACATGATCGCTGGTAGCCGCAGATAGCCACACATCCGCTAGCCCGCTTCCGTGGGCGTAGAGGTACCAAGAAACTATTACTAAAACACGCCAGAGCTCAGAAATTACCGAAAACTGGGATTCGCTTCCCTTCTTGCAAAGAAGTGAATTGTAAGAAGGATGGGAAAACAACAGCTTTTACAAGTAAACAATAGGAGTAACCTCAATGAGAACATAACGATGCCATCGAACTGCTGAGCTAATTAAAATTTAGCAAGAAAATAACAAGAAACGTTAGCCCAATCCACCCACAATTCTTAGTATCTCCATAACGAAGAGAGAACAGTCACTTGAGCGAAGAAGAACCCATTTCAGAATGCACGCGCACCCTGGGGCAAAATCAGCCTAGCTCCGCTCCGAAAATCATCAATATAAAGACAGAGAGTAGGGTCACACAAACATTATCAATGCAGACTATATGCCGCAATTGGCCCCGACAATTCTTACCCAAAACCAACACTGAATAAAGCACCACTCTCCGACATACCCTAAGGCTCTTTTTTTTTCATTTGAAAAGGCCCAAAAAAAGAGTTAGTTCTGACAATTACACCAGTGATACGCCACGCCACGCAGTTGACGCCAGCCGGAATTCCGAGGGAATGTCCTTTTTTTAAATCTTCTCAGAAAAATTGAAATACATGGTGCAAAAAGCACACAAGATATGGGATTGAAAGTGGAAAGTTTGGAAAAAACGGATGAAGATTACGGAACGACAAAACTCCAACTAACGCCAAAAAAGAGCCAAGCGTGCCGGCTATAATCTGATCTGATCTGATTTGATGCGATCCCCACATACGCTATCGAAGACACTTTTACGGTTCATCTTTCTCTACACGACAGCGTTTTTAGCGGAAAAATTCTCGTAACTTTTGGTCTCAGCAGAGCTTACATTTCTCACCGAATGTACCCTTCAGTGCACCTGTCATTTACAGTACCTGTCATTTACAGGAAGCCACTTGGGTGCATTACTTAGAACGTTTCAAAGGACAAGACATTTAATCATAAGGCGAAAATCCTTCGGAGTGGGATATTTCATGTCCACAGACTTCTAGCATCTGTACCTAAGGATCCCCCGCCTAATTCAGCTAGATTCGCATGGTAAACCTAGAAGTAAGAGCACCACACAAATCCCAAAAAGCTGTCGGCTGAAGAGGGCACTATAGAAAACTTGGAACCATTTTGACGCACCTTACCTGCGGTTCAGCGTGCACGCTTTAACTGTTAATTCAAAGGCATGTGTGCTAGCGAAAGATTTCAATCCAAAGATAGCCTTGTTTGTGATCAGATGACTAACACACTTCCGGAATTGATTTGTTTCGTTAAGCTGAGCTTTTAAATGTTCTTTTTTTTTTTTTAGCTTCATTTTTAGTGATAAATTGTCTTGATTGCCATAATTTGCCCACCATGTATTGTCGCTAAATGCGTATATTCCTTGCCGTTTAATGACCCGTTATTCGTTGTCCAAACGAAATAACGACGGTTAGAGCCGAAAAACTCGGATGGAAAAGGGCTTGTGAAGCAAGGTCCGAGAAGATTGTGGAATAGAATATTAATTCGAACACGGCCCAACGCATATTCTGCGCTTTTCCACCCTCACCGTGGGAAAATATTCTTTGACCTCCATAAACCCACGAACATCGTATGATTCATGCATTAACGACAACGTGACAATATCAAACCACACCCAGGTGGTTCATTCGTCACAAATGCAAAATTGCTGTCCCTAATTTTTCATTTTTATTCCATAAACTCACCAGAGTATAACTATGATCGATGTGGTCACGAAAATAGTTGAAATAGTGCTGTGCTTATCTTTCACGTTCCATTTTCTTCCGTTTTTTTTTCAGAAAGATACCAACCCGCGCGGCCAAAAACGGAACACGCTGTATCGCCATTGTGTGGTAAGCATAGCAGATATTACACCATATCAAACATCTGGACTCATCATTTCACCCATAGGAAGCATTCATGTCGCTTTTCCGATCGTGACAATCGTAACGATTGCACAGTCGCAGGTACCCAGCTGTCACATGTCCGACAGCCGATACGTACCCATTGCTGTGCGATCGTTACGATCGCACAGCAGTGGGTACGTATCGCCTTTCAGTTCACCTGCGCCGACATCCACGCGCGAGCTGTATGTGCTCTCCGCGCGTACATTCACTCTCGACACGCTCTTATCCAGTACAGAGCCATGGTCGAAGGTTTCCTCGACCGTTATTCACCCTGCGACCGACTATGAATGCGCGCCCATAAGCATATTGAATGATATGACACCACACCGATCCGTAATACAGAAAAAAGAACGGAAATTCATATCATAGCTGCAGAAAAATCACAAGCCTCCCTTTCCAAAACACTTAGATTCACATATAAAAGTCTGACTGATTGAAAGTACAGTGCAGATTTACAGAATTCGGAAAACAAGGTGCCATAAAGCAAGTAAAATTGTTGAGCTCGCGTTTGTTTGAAAGACGTAATCAGACTCACGAGGCCGTTCAGACGCTCTAGCTCCATACTGAACGTTTCATTTGGTACAGCCATCTTTTCCAGGATTTCGTTCTGCGTTTCTCTGAAGAAACCACTGAATATCTCGAAAAAGAGCTAAAGGTAAGCTTACAACTCACTTGATCTCTTCGAGTAATGAGAGCACTCTTGCCGACTCTGAGGGGGGGTGAGACTCTGAGTTCATTCCTAAGTCGATGCTCATCTGAACTAGGTCTAATCAAGAACCGCATAAAAGCCTATTGGCAGCCTATTAGCACCACAAAAGGTACGGTAAAATAGAAGTAGTCAAGGAGAGAAAACCTCGAGTGTTTCAGGAAATTTCAAAACCCACTAGCAGTAGCTACCAATCAAATAGAATGTGTGTACATTTAGTTTGGCATAATCGAACAGCAAGAATGGAAACAACCAAATATTTATATTACTCCGTGAATCATGAATATCATTTATTGTACGATTATTTCAACTTCGACAACTTATGGAACCCAACGAAATTTAGCGCGAATGAGGTGAAACCCGGAAATGTCCTCACGTGTAGTCTTATATAAGAAAACGATCAAGAAAAGTAGATATCACTAAGAAAATACTCCATCACATTGAAGACTGTTACCAAAAAAAATCTGACTTAGATTGATAGTAAAGGTGACTAGAAACCACAAAGGGCCTATAGTTACAAAAGACAAAAACTAAAGGCCGATGTCAGACTTTGCGAATCGCGCGATTCGCTAGCGTCTGCGGTCGCGTCGCGGCCAGTGAATCACTCAATTGGCTGGTACCGCAACGCGACCGCGGACGCTAGCGAATCGCGCGAATCGCTAGTAGCGAATCGCGCGATTCGCAAAGTCTGACATCGGCCTGAGGAAGTAACAAAGGCCAACACTTTCGATGATGACCTAGGAATCTGTCAAACTTTGGAGTTACCACTTGCTCTACCAAAATGAAAGCAACCGAAACTACTAACAACTTACTAAGGAGCACAAGTCATACAGCCATGGAAAATAACCCCGATAACCATATCAAGTGACAAATCAGAGGCAGCAACAGATAACAGTGGAGAAACCGTGTGATTCCTACGCATTACAAATAACATCAACAATGCACTCCATGGCTTCGAATATGCGATTTGACGTTGTCTTTGCGAGCAATACCGCGTCCACAAATCGGACAGCTATGTTTCTTCTCTCCAGAGTGAACCAGTCGGTGACGACGCAATGTGCTTCCGTCCGCGAAACTCCTTTCACATGTCTCACACTGAACGGATTATTCATGGCCAGCAAGGGAGGAGCAACTTGTGGAAACTCACAGTGAACGGTTTTTCGCCTGTATGAGTTCTTAGATGGGCCTTGAGATAGTTTCGTCGCCCTCGTTTACCACAATACTCGCAAGCATAAATTCTAAATAATGTGTTTCAAATGACACAGAAAAAAGAAAAAATCGATTGGTGAATTTTTTGGAATGGATTGTAATCTTGTAGTAGGATTGCAGCTAGCACAACTGACTACACGACACGAGTAAAAGCACCTGTTCGTATGTCTCCTCATGTGTTGGATAAGATCGGGTTGGTCCTCAGACGGACAGGCTTCACAATTTCGTTTTTCCTAAACTTATAACAATATCATACAGAAACACATTTCCTGACTCGAACTCACTTTATTCACATGTGTTCTGAGAAAATGATCTTCCATAACTTTGATATCCGGCGCCTGTTCGGGGCAGAGCTGACATAGAATATACTGGGCAATTCCGAGAAGAAGGTTCTACAAAATATTTTTATTTATCTTAAATTTTGAAAACCTTGGACCAGATTAGTGACCTGAGGCTGCTGTGTGCTCGATCCTTGTTCATCCGGTGATGGAGAATCAGAAGCGACTTCCTGTTTTAATTCCCTCAGAAGATTCCGTTTCGGTGGGTTATCTCAAAGGACAGGTGATTTTTTGGCCAGAGATCATAGAGAGCAACAAGTAAGAGAAAAAAGAAGATAGAAGAAAGAATTTTCGCATTTCCTCGTACCTTGTTCTAACACTTCACCTTCTTCTGCACTTGTACCACTAGACGCCTCTTCAGCAGCATGTCCAATATGAGAACTAAAGGAAACTTATATAAAACAAGTAGATCCGATTCGTACTACCATGACAAACATTGTTCTTTTCAGACCTACCTAACATGGTTGCAGGACCCGCAATGAGATTTTTTCTCTGGAACAAATGGAGGAACGGTGGGGGATTTCAGCAGCATTTTAAGGAGTTCCATTTCTTTTTCCTGCCACGTAGCCTTTTGTTTCACCTATGATTTTCAGTGAGCAGCATCGATTCTTATGCGTCGAACAGATATGGAACAACATACTTACAGATCCAAGCTCGACTTCCATGGCAAGTAGTTGTCGTTCAAGCGCCTTCCTAGTCTTTCTTTCTTCAGCGAGGAGCGTCTAAATCTCCACCTGTTTTCAGACGAATGATGTAGGATGTTTATAGAGTCACAGTATTAATTAGACAGCTATGTAGCAAATAAAATTCTTTCGAGTCGCCGGCTATCAATCGATGTCGAGCAACATGAAGCTTACAAATGTCGAAATTTCAGGAAAACTATAACGTTTTGCAGCTCACACATCTCATTCGACTCTACAGTGAACCGAACATTTCGTGGAACCTTTGTCAGCAACTTGTAGAACTTCACTAGCTCGCGTTCAGAGTCGTGAGGCTTGAAGAAAGGCAGAAATTTGATTGATCAGTTAACTGACGCTGATATTCCGAGCCATTATTTACCCTGCGTCTCAATCGGTAACCATGCCAGAAGCTTATATATGGTTACTTCTCGTCAAATTTATGCAGCATGTGAACACCTATCGTACCTTCGCCTTGTTTATGATGAAAAGTAGATGTTCATTCAGTTCGCAAGCGTTCGGCCTTCTGAGTGAAAGCCTCAGGTCCACACCATTGATATCACAGACCAAAACCACATCCTCACCATTGGTGTCGATACGAAGAGGTATGAAGCTGTAAGAAGGAAGAGTATTATAATGACTGGACTACAGAAAAAATGAAAGGGTGAGAACCACTAACCAGTCATCAGTATTCGATGTAACGGAGAGCTGGTCAAAAACTGTTATCCATTCAACCGCTTCACTGGCTTTGATCTCTCCGAAGAATAGTACAGTGGGATCACTTTCACTGGATATTCGAACTTTGCAAATATCTTCAGTTGGAGGAAATATCCTCACACACAGCAAATATAACCTGAGGAAGATACCATTAAACAGGGGTTACAGCAAAGATTTGACTTCTTGCAAATGGACTCGCAATGTGAAGTTCTACCGCTGTTACTTAATAGACCCGCTGCGGACCGCTTATGTGTGCACCTCCGCGGGTTTCTGTCATCTGTTCTTATCAATACCAAGTAATCTATCAAAATTAATCAGTATGCAGTATCCCTACTATATATAAAGCGCTAAGTCTGTCTGTCTGTGTGTGTGTGTGTGTGTGTCACGAAATTCATAGCACGCGTCGCAGCAGTCGTCAGGAGCTGATTTTTTGATATGATATAGGGGGTGGGACGGGAACATATTTGGTGGGGGACAGTGATAACGACTGATAAGATCTGATAAGAGGCGCTAGAACGCAATTTCACGAAATTCATAGCGCGCGTCCCAGCAGCAGAGGGGAGTTGGTTCCAGGAAGTAATGCAGGGTGGGACGGGAACATATTTGGTGGTGGTCAGGAAAGCTGATAACGGCTGATAAGATCGATAAGAGTTGCGCTGGGAAACGAATTGTCTGCACGATATCCATGTGAGCGCGGGGGGCTCCAGCCTGGCGGAGGAGGGGAGTTGGTTCAAGGAGGAAGTAATGTGCAGGGTGGGACGGGAACATATTTGGTGGGAGTCATAAAGTGATAAGGACTGTTAATGGCGATATACGTAACGACATAGAAATAGCTTAAAACCAAATACTAGATAAGAACCAAACTCATTTCTTTCCTTCTTCGTCGCGTATTATCGTCTCGAAATCCATTCGACCGCTACTCTTTAGAAGCTCTTAGAAATGTATGGACTGAGTTTTTCTATCTTAACACCATTAGCATCAAATATCATCCAACCGCTAAACTACCCTGACATTTAACGCATGGTGGTTGTTTACATGCAGCACTTTAGCTTCGCACTCTATCGCGCCGTATCAAACGGTGAACTTCAGCAAAATGGGGAGATGCTATGGGAAGGTCGGCTGGCGCATTTTCCGATGCAACTTAGGGTTGCATTCTTTAGCGGTGGGATCTAATGTTGCACAGGCCATACATTTTCAACGAAGCCTACTGTGTCACGTGCGCGGTAGCGTGCGGAGCTAAACTGGTATGATATATTCTGCGTCCGAAAAAAGCTTACAAATGAGTTTGTAACTTTATATAGCGCTGAATGAACCAAACTATCCTTTCCCGCGTGTCGTGCTGCACAGGGTGTAGAACGCGGTCACCAATGGGCCAAAGAATGTAAACAGCATTATTCAAGATATCCGCAACTTCCCCACAAAAGCAGTGGTGTGATGCGTGAAACAGAGCGTTTCCTGAGAGTCGGTGATTGCCTGATTGATACGCGCCCATCATTCCTCCCCGCTGAATCACTCAAACGCCAATTCATCTAGCCGCAGAATCTCCCATGAGGCATAAATGCGACTTAAAGTGTTTCCTTATGTCTCGCCGCGAAATGGCCATTCCGACAATATGGTTTGATTTTCTTCATACTTTTTTTTGCGAATCTTATATCTTTAGAGGAGCGAAAATGATCGTTTTGCGAATTCGCTATAGCAAATGAAATACCTGTTTCCAATAAGTGCAGATGGAATGTTACACTCCTTCAAATCTTTCCCTTTCAAAAGTTGATCAACTCCATCCAATACGACAGGTGAACCCATGAGTTGAATATAACTAAAAAAGATGGTCGCGCGGATACCAGATGACGGCCTACTATTGTAGTTTGAAACTGAGGAAGCAATGGCGGTGAAAAAGAAATCAAAGCACAACTCCAAACATGCCACTTCATTTCAGAATCAATGAGACAAAAGCTGCTTCCTGGAAGATTCCTGGAACATTGTTTCCTGCGGCCAGATATGTCGTAATTGCACACATTTTAGTACAGCTGGCAATAGCCTCGAAAAAAGATCGAGTAGGTTTTTGAAGTTTTTGACACTATCTGACACAAATTGTGTAAGTAACTGCAACTGCGACACGTCTAGCGGAAGGAAAGCTTCAGTCTTGGTGAAATAAGGATTTCCATCAAAAATTTTATCATGATGATAAGCGCTCGGTCTCGACGGGATCCCATCGGAACAGCTAGGAATCTACCGTCGATTGCTGCCAAACGAATGGCAGACTGAACGAAGGACGGTCATAGAAGCAAGCAGGAAAAAAAGAAAAGGGGACAGCACCATCGCCCATTACCACACGGTCGGCTCACTGAAGTGCCGCGAGAGTACATGAAGCCGTCTTTACTTTCCTCGATTTGAAACGATCTTGTGTTGAGAAAAGCAGTCATCCAAGCGCTGTTCAACCAGGGCGGTAACATTCCGTATACAAGAATTTTCGTGAGATCTAGAGCAACTTTACGACCCAGTTCATCGTTTTACAAACAGATCATCATCGACGTGAGAGAGAGCGTCGACAGGCAACAGTGTCTCACACCAAATTGCTGCTTTTAAAAAAAGAAGCATACAAGAATATCGATGGAATAGTGATAATGCGGAAAAGACATAGAACGTCTGGCTCCTTGTCCACCTCTTCGATTTTGCTGTCCATCTACCTTGGCCAACTCCTTGGAAACCTAGATTCTGCGCAAGCAGGCCGAGCATATAGTCTGCGGCTCAGTTGATAGGGGTGAGCTTGGAGTTGCCCCACACATGAAGTGCAGAAGAGAACCCGGAACTCCGAACCTGTCAACGATTGAAGGAACGCTGTCGTCTCCGCCAGAAATCGAAGGTTGGGCAGGACACGTCATGCGATTTTGTAGCCAGAGCGGTTACCGAGTGGATATCTGGGACGTCAAGCAAACACCAGGGCGATCGCAAGTCGACTCAAAAGGCAAGAGATTTATTCACGAAAGCTCTACACGAAAAGAATGAAGGACAGTGTTCCGCGACCGAGCAAGATCCACTGGTATATTCTGCATCAGACAAGGAGGTGCGAAGAGACGTTACGAGAAAAAATGAAAAAAAGGCCCGCGTCGTCCCAGAAACTCATCGTAATAACGGGACGACGTGTGATACAGCTTTATAGGCAAATGTTGTCCTGCTAATACACATACTTAATGACGATAGAATATCAGATTTTATTTAAGAGGAAACCTTTCTTAGTGGGTTATTCGGGTGGTCGGCGGTTGGAGATATTGTGGTACGTCGGTGTCTCGGACGGGCTGGGGCCAGCTTCCGATGCCAAGGCGTGCTTTTGCACTGAGAAGGTCGAGGCTGAAAACTGGGATGTAATGGGCCGTGTCTACTAGAGAATCGAAACGATTCGCCAGGCGTCCGCCGATCGCGGATTGCGCAAGCGAGCCCATCTCGCATATTAGACGATCGTCAGACTTTGCGATTGGAGCAGTTTTGGCCGAGCCGTCAACGTGCAGGAGCGAGGAGTAGCTCAAGCGATGGCGAGCGAGGGGGGGGAGAGGCTTACAGCGAGCGTGCGCGGTGTCGGGGATGTGATAATCCGCGGCGTGGTGTGATCATCCCGTCGGCTCCGGCACATCGCTCAAAGCGATCCGTCGTCCTCCTGCAGTTGGTGCAAAATCGCTCCAATCGCAAAGTCTGACACCGGCCGTTAGCAAATGGCTCAATTAGCACAGTCCAGTCCGAGGTAGCTCGATGCCCACATAACAAAGACGACATTTTTTGGCTCGTCTGGACCCTCCCGGTCATGGGATTGCGCTTAGGGTTAAGCCTAAAGGAAGAGGGAAGTAGCTCACTCATCCTTGACCCCCCTCACTCCATCCCAAGATCTCATTGAATTTGGTGATGGCGTCAAAAATGATTCTCATTTTCATATTAATTTTTATCAGAGCTCCATGCCACCCCCAAATAACCCTAAGGCGAAGTAATACACGACGAACTCGAAACCGAACTGAAATTTGGAGATTTAATGGTTGGATATTGTCAAAAATTCAGCCATGTTTTCGGAATCTTCACTCTCCTTTCATGTAAAAAGGGAACCAAATGATAAAATGGAAGAAATTGAGGTGATACAACAAAGAGCGAAAGATGTCCATGACCATAGATCAAACGAAACTAATGCACACATATTTAAGAGCAAAAGAAATATCAAATTAAAGGCTGTTATGAGTCTCACTTTTTCAACTCATCATAAAGAGTCATTGTTTCTACAGCTTCTGTTCTTACTATGAACAAATAATATTCGGGTCTCTGAGTTATCAAAATAAGTCACATACAAATATGAGAAACCAAAGAAATGGGTAGGAACTACACACACTCATCATTGTGAGCAATGCGTCCGTTGGACGACTTATGAATGACAAGTTCTGCAATCGCATGAATGACAAGTTCTGTCAGACGTTGCGATGGAGCGATTTGGTCAAGATGGGAGTAATGTGAATCATCGCGAATCGCGCGATGGGGCGCCATCGCTCCCGTTGTGCGGGTCACAGGCAGCGCAGCGCAGCTCCTCAGTCAACGTATCGATCGAGGGGGGCGCGCCAGCGATTGATCGCTCCCTGCCACAACGGCCTGTGGACCGCGACACAACGGGAGCGATGGCGCCCATCGCGCGATTTGCGTGATTCACATTACTCCCATCTTGACCAAAGTCGCTCCAATCGAGAAGTCTGATCGGCCAGTGATGGCTGAATGTCGACTGCTCATGATTCACATGTTTCACATTCAGTGTTTCAAATGTTCAAGTGGGGCACTCACAATTTTTGAAATCCATCGATTTCGCGCAAATCGCGAAAATCAGCGAAACCTCGACGGATCGCGGACTCTGACAACATCCTAAGAGC